AAATTGTAAATACTGTATTTGTGTATATATTTGGTACAACAAAATTAATCTAATAAATAAAATTCTATTTAATAAAAATAAAAAAAATTTATTACAATACCTTAGGTATTTTACTTTAGACTTCTAAATAAACAAACAAAAATGTTTTAAATAAGTTCTACATATGTTTATTATAATCCAGTAAAAAATTATGACAGAGGACATTGTGAAGCGAAAGTGCATGGAACTTTTGCAAACAATAATGGGAAAATTTATGATTTTATAAAAGTGAATATTAAGTTGACGAAATAAATATTAAGTTCATAACTTTTTAAGGATTAGTAACACAAAAAGAAATAAAAATTGTAGCATATAGAGTACAAAAAAATTCAGAACGCACTTAAAAATTTGACAACCAATATAATACCTTTTTCATTACTGAATTATTCTACATTTTTATAATGTAAAATACTCCGATATCCGAATATTGTGGATATATAGATTTTCGGTCCGAAACCTTTATTATACCTACGTTCTTTAGTTTGAGAGAAAGGTTTACAGTATCTACGGGTGAACATTAAATGTGTGACAGTTACGAAACATTTCTTTTTATTTTATTTTTCAATGAATTCAGGATGAAGACAAATCCAACAAATAAAAAACCATGAAAATCAGAATCGTTTCCGAATTATAAGTGTTCGAACAAATCCGATTTTTAATATGACTTAAAAATAACGTATAAAACTTCTGGCATCCATAAAAATGGCTTTATATTATATTAACTGCTATTTACAAAGAACAATGCAAGGTTTTAAATACGTATTTTATAATTGTTTTGTGTTTTAAAGTAAATAAAGACTTTTCAATCTATACAATGTTAGTAATAAACAATTTAAATTTATTTTATTTATATATTTTTTACGGGTATTGATGGGAATCCATTGTCGGGCCTCCTCCAGATTTTTCCAGAATCCATGGCTTTCTATCTCCATTCGCTTCCCGCTTAAGGCGTAGCTTATCTACCTTTTACTAGAGCGCTCTCTTCTTCTTCACCTTGGTCCTTTCCATATAGGAGTGCTATGAGTAGGAACCTACTGAAAATCAAATTAAAAAAAAAAATGTCATAACCACGCTTTCCTTTTTCCAAGCAAAAAAGCGTGTTGATTTATCTAGAAACAGCTACAATTTTGTAGGTACGTAAGATTATCTTTATGCAAACTAAATTTATGATGCAATTGTCATGTAATGCGAGGTCAAAGTGAAATAAAAATGTAGGGTATGTATATGGTACATATTATATAATTCCAACAAATCATAGTTAATATCTTATTGTATTCATAAGATTTATCGGAATGGAAACACTTTATCACTCAGTTGTGGATCGACGGACGTCGAGATGAAACGGGTGGAATTTCGTATTCTGCCTTGACGTCCAATGATGAAACTAAAATTAATGTGGAAATGAGGAAGGAAGGTCTCCTCTGACCAAAAAGGAGGATTATCGACCAGTCTAACAATCAATCAATTATTTAATCATATAGGTAACACAATGTACACTTATAAACGTCAAAAAAGAAATATAGGTACATTAAATCCTTCTAATCTCTACTCTCCGCCACACCTTTTTATGGCCAAGTTTTTTGTTATACACAATGTTTGTAAGGAGCTGCATCCATTACACCATATTCCACATGCATGCACGCACTTACATTCTCGTGGGAACAACACGCAAATACATAGTCGAAATAATGATGTTAGTTATACACGAATTCAAGTCCGACAGTCACCACAAGTAGAACCCGTTCACGAGTATGACGCATGGTCAGCCGTCTTCCCCCTCGCCATATTTTAGGGAGAGAGACAACCCGACGCATGGACGCCGCCACAAGCAATGATATTTAAGCGAACAAGACGATCCTTAGAAAATAATAATAATTCTAATTATACTGAAGTAATTTGATACGACATGGATCACGGTTTGTTCCCACTTTACATTAAAACAGTCGTGGATGTTGACGATCGCATAACAACTGAGTGTCCTGAATGCGACAGGGGCTAATGGGCTAAAGGGGTCGAGATATAGCTAATGGGCTAAGGGCATAGCGGAATAGCTTTGTAAGCGCTATTCTGGGGGACATCGCAGTGAATTGTAGATTGTAGGTGCTACAATAAGTTTTTAGTATTAAATGGAAGACAGATACATAACGATACTGCAATTAGGAATATCGATTATATATCACTTTATTAAAGCAATATCAATAACGATGATCGATTACAAATGTAATTATTTACACTTGACAAGTTCAGGGATCCGTGGCAAGGCGCGCTCCAGCCGGCTTACCCTATAATTTTAACGTCATTTATTTATTAGTTTATACCGATTCTTGTTGGTATAAGAGATAAGAAGAAGAAAATCAATGTGTAGTCGGCTTGCACAAACTTAATGCCTATGATTGTGATTCAGATTTAATTATTTTAACCTTTTGTATGTGTATTGTACTTATAAATGTGTTTTATATCCACTTCATTATTAGAAACAACAATTATACAAATAATTGTTGTTTTTAATAATTAATATAAATTTATATTAATATATAAATTATATTTATTAAAGATTATAGAAATTTATTTATACTTAATAAATATAATCTAATTAGATGCCACGTTGCGGATAAGCAGTGTTGCCTAATGACTTCAGCGTGACAGACAGAAGACTGATGACATATTTGTCTATGAAATAAAAATTATCAAAGAAAAAAATGCAATGTGTGACCCAGAGTTTTATCACCACCGGATTATCTGGGGAAACAAATAAATTATTAATATACACACTGATTATGAATTATTTTATAAATTTTATGTCGTTTTATAGCGACACATTGATACGGATATTAAAAGGTTTACACCGAAACAAGAAAAAAACGTGATCGCAATCGACAAATTGTTTCAGATTGGAAGCCAGCGAACGCAGATTTCTTTATAAGTATGTTTCTTAAAGTAGCTAATAATAAGCGACAATCATTTTATTACAAATTATCGTCATAACATTCTGCAAATCACCGCGGAAACAACAAGCCATGAATTATACGATTTTCCTCCAAAGTGCGCTGTAAAAATGATTACCATTGTTTATCTGAATCTACGACAGACTTAAATGGCTTCTAGTTAAATAGTTTTACGTTCCTTCCTTCAGTGACACACACGCTCAGCGTCCTTAGACAAATCAAAGTTTTTGAAAAGTAACGTAATTATTATAGAGTAAACCTGTACTATAAACGATAATTCTATTGTTATAAAAATCTGTGACGCAACATTTTGGCTTAGTTTCCTGCATGTTTTATATTTTTTTACTGGTAGCGTTTATGTAGGTCCTACAAGCAGGCTAAGGGGCGTACTACGGTCTCGTTTCAGAATGTCACCCATAGTCAACTCCGAATCATACCATACAATATAATCCTTTACATTGTGTGCATATGTTTTAATAGCTTCATTTTGTTCCATTATTCATGTCTTAGTAATATATCTTATGTAATTTTGCAATCTTGCGCTTACCTTCTTTAATTTATTTTTCCTTACAGTCATTGCCTGAAACGCTCGAAAGCGGTAAGGCCACATTCCTCTTTATTTAATTATTTTAATTGTACCGTATTTCTTCTAACGAAGTGTTTAACAAATAAATATAAAGTCGACAGCCTGTGTTAGGTACAGGCTAACATACAAAAAATATAAATTAAATAGACGCTGAAATGTGTCTGTACTGTTGGGGGTTCCTAGAAAAACAACAAGAAAGTAAAAGTAATAAAATAAAACATCTAAAAGTATTTTCCAATATTTTATTTGGTACATCACAGCTCTCAATATCTGACTTATAAATTAATTCTTAAATAACACAGAAATTAACATACATAACATTTGCAGTAAATAATTAAGGATACACTAGCAATCATATATTAAACAGTTGATAAGGCACTGCCTGTATTTTAAAATCACGTTACAATTTTTATAAATAAATACAATTAAAAATAACTGTCGTCAGAATTAAAATTCAAAGTTTTTCCTTCAAATATTCTCGTTTTTCGTTTTTTTTAATTATATGTCGTTTACATTATTTATTTCTGTAGTTTCTACTATTTCTTTCATATTTTAGATTATATAAAAAATAGGATATTACTACCCTATTTTATCCGTCAAGAATATTACATCCTGATATAAATATTAATACATTAAAATAATTTTTCGACTATATTTAACTACAATAATTTAAAAAGCAGGAACAATGTTTATATAGTAATAATTAGTAATTATATAGTAAATTATTACGTATCGAAATTTTAAAGAAAATACACTTTACCACACTGTTCCGGCGTTGAGTGCTCACATAAAATAGCGTCAAAATAAATTCAAAATTATAAATCGCCTTTTAATCGGTAAAGTATATTTTCTTAAAGAGTCGTTTGGACTGACCAACAGAAATATAATTACATATTTTATCAACTTAGTAACACGTTTAAATAGACAAAATAATTGATTATAAGCGCTCAAACTGCTCCTCGTGTCGATTTAAAAAGGGGCCCTAGACAAATATTTCTTGCGGCAGACGTAGCCTGCTAACGTCGAGCGGATCGTGTAAGAAAATGGTCACTTGACTAAACTCTGTAACCACATAATAAATTATAGAATAACAACAAATTACGTATTAACTGGGTGCATAATCGTGTTTTTATTTTTACATTTGCATTTTTAATCTCTTTTGGTAAATATTTTGCTAAGTTGTCTTTATCTTCTTATGTCTAATATTAACTCAAATTTATTGCATTGTGAAGTCCCGCACTCTGGCACTTCATAATTCGTCGAAGCACAAAGCTGTTTAATTAGGTTTATACCAAATGTTAGAAATTCATGTCTGACATTGTTATTATTATATAAAAATATTGAAGATACTTCAGTTTTATATTGCCTTTCGCAAAATATCTGTCTGAAGCCCCAGTCATGAAATACCTAAAAGAAATGTCAAACAATATCTACGCGCGGGTGACGTTTAATGAGGTTTCTTTTGAGTCTTTGATATTGCCGTTTTTTGTATCACCCATTTCCTTGAGGTTTTCAGTCTTTTTGTCTTCATCGTCAATAAAGTTCCACGATTGTATGTTACCCGTTCCGAAGAGAATGAAAAATATCGCAGACACTATATATACTGAAGCACCGATGAAGAATACGGGACGCCACTGTTCGAATGTGTTCTGGAAACAATTTGAATTTGTCAAATACTTAGTGGGAAGTAATCTTTGTAAAGATCAAGGAAAAATTATTTTCTGCAATAAATACACCTAATCAACAAAGACGCTATAAATATCAAGAGAATAATGAATCATTATTTCTAATTGTCTAAAGTAATTAGCTAAAGGCTAAAGGCAAAAATGTTGTCATAGGCAACATTTTTATTTTAATACCTAAACCAAAAGTCAAAAATCATTTATTCATATAGGTAACACAATGTACACTTATGAAATTCAAAAAAGAAATATACATTAAATGCTTCTAATTTTACATAATTGCTGCACGTTGATTTGAGAAATCAAGGGCGTAGAACGAAAGAAATCAACTGGAAATAACCTCTCCGCCACTCTTTTAACTTTTTAATCGCCAACCGCCTAACAGAATTGATAATAATCATAGTGCAAGAGTTCGGTAACTATGCGTATAACTGCAATACTTTACAATTTGTTTTATAAATAATCTTATTATTCGTGAAAATAATTAGTGACAATTAACTCACCCCATTCCTTGTAAAATAGGCAGTGATCATAGGAGTAAAGAAACCAGCTGTACTCCCGATAGCGTTTGCAATACCATACAGAGTTCCGGCATAATTCGGTGCTAAATCTTGATGATTCTGAAGATTTGTCAACGTCGCTGCCCCATTTAAGCCCATCGACATAGTTATTAACATCACAGACAACGTTGTTGAACAACCAGTATATACCATGAGCACTAGTAGAACTCCTGGTAGTATATGCGAAAATAGACAGAAGAATTTCCTTATAGTTGTAGTAGTCATCATTTTCCTTGCTAATATACAGTCTCCCAAAGACCCAAAAACAGTAGCCAACAGCATTCTAGCGAGATATGGAAGCGCCGATATAACACCAGCTGCTTGCAGTTCGAAATTCAAAACGCTCGACACAAATTTCGGCCCCACAGTCATAACGAAATAGAGGCCCCAAACGTTTCCATAGTGTAATATAATCATTGCTAAGAATGGAAATGATGTGCAGATCTTCTTGAAAGGTGGTAAACCCTGAAAACAAATATTATCCTTAAGCACTTATATTAAATAATCGCGTTTCTAAGATCGCAAACAGGAAGGTTAAACAAAACCATTTTTGTATGTGGTTTTTGCTAACGCTAATTATACATGTAAATCTTACTTTGGATTTCTTGACTTTGTCTCCAAGAGCCTCCATGATATACTTTTTTTCATCGTTGGATATTCTGGGGTGTTCCTTTGGGGTGTCTGCGACTAGGTACCACCAGAAACCGCACCATATGAAACTCAGAGCGGCAGGGACGTAAAAGGCAGATGCCCAGCCAAATTTTTCCATTAATGGCCCAGTGAGAGACCATGTTGCGACAATTCCCAAGGTCCCACCCATCATCGCACTCACAAACTTCCCCTTTTCCGCGGGGGGGCGCCCATTGTGCCACTAAAGCGTGGAGAGCAGGATATGTGAAACCCTAGAAAGATACTATTTCTTTACACGGTAATTAGTTAAAGCAATCATAACAATAGCAATAAAACACCTTACATTAGTGTTTTTCCTCAATCGAAGGTTCTTTCTTTATGCATACGATAATAGCATGTATATAATATATATACTTCTCAAAATAGTCTATCCAACACAAAAATATATTTTAATTAAAGACCGTAGTCCCTTTTTTTATTAGTTATGTAGATAGCAGCCTATCAGGCACGCGATCAGGCAGATCTGTGGCCGAGAAGCTAGCCAGCAGGGGAGTGTCAAAATCTTCCCTTTCCTAAAAAGGTACTTAAAAGACTTGGCGTCTCCCTCCGGGAAATATCCTCATGATATTTATTGGCGATTCAGGGCCCGGTGGCCGGCGGGAGCCGCGTTAACTCTTGTGCTATTTATCTTAGTCACATAAACTAAACTAAGACAAGACAGCATAAGAAAAATTATCCAGTTCCTGGATGGTTTTAAACAAATAAAACTACAGATAAGATTCAGTAACGAGACTGACTCCCGGACGTCAAAATGTTATGGATTTTGACATACGAGAGACACTCCGCCAGTGGCGTATCAATAGGGTGGCAGAGCTGGCAAAATACCACGGGCCTCCGACCCAAGAGGGCTCCTGCCCAAGAGATATTATGGTATACGGATGAATGTGAAGTCTCCAATACGCATTGGGCTAACGTGGGGACTACAGACCATTCCATCTAGCCTAAGAGAGGAGGCCTATGGCCATTAGTGGGACTTAAAAATCTCAAAAATTAAACTGAGTACAACGAGACGATTTTTACTGATAGGGCCCCATCAAAAGAATTGCCACGAAACAAGATTTGCCACGGGCCCCAGATGGTATAGTTACGCTACTGCACTCCGCGTTAAGTCTCTGTGAATCTCACCTTTAGTATTGAGGTTATAGTGACAAGATACTCGCTTGTGGAGCATATTATAAGTACTAATCCTTGTATTTTTAGTACATAATGTGAAATATAGCGTGTCAAATCGACTACAATATCATCATTTGTCATAATTTACAGTCTCACGTGGATGTTAAAACAAATAATTTTGTACATATAAGTACCTGTCTCAGTTTACATATAACATATGTGTTGTGTAAACGATGACAAATTACACACAATAAAAGTTCACAAAAGACATAGAAGTAGATGAAAAAAGTATTATTGTTCAAGGCCTAAACTTAAATTTGGTATTAAAATTAATTTGTTTTAGAAACAAAGGTATGTAAACTGTGTATATAGTCATCAGAAACGGGGGTTTCACAATGTTCTGTAACTTCTAAACCACGTTACAAATTCTGGAATAAGTACTAGATATAGGTAGTTTATCAATCTCTCTATGTAAAATCTCATTAAAAGCAAAGTAAGTTTATCAGTTTAAATAGTATAAGTTATAAAAAAATATATATTTAATAAATGTACGTTATGAACGTATAAATTTATCAAAATCATATTTATTTATTTATACTTTATTACCTTAATCAAAAACATACACGTAACATAAATAAAAAAACAGGTTATAAAAGTTATAAGGCAACGGGCGGCTATATCGCTAACAAGCGATTTCTTCCAGGCAACTCTAATTTGGAACAATGAAAAAGAAACACCTACAGAGGGTAGAGTACAAGTAATGCAACAAGAAAAAAACTCAAAATAACACCTTACTATAATTAAAATAAAATAAATTAAAATCTAATAAGAAAATAAAAATAACAATAAATAAAAATATGTAAGAACAAAAATTTAAAATACAATCAAAAGGTTAACAGAGTCACAATAATTAATATATATCAGCAGAGCTAATTACGAGGCAAATAGAAAATGATCAAAAAGCACCAGGACCCTACCTGTTTACACCTGGCTACCTAAGAAGTGCAGCCAGGTGATCAACGGCACCCGTGATTTTTTTTAATCTTTATGTAATTTGCCGTGATGTAGAAGATATTTTATTTAAATAATAAGTGAACGAAATGTTTTCCCATAAATCAATTAAAAATATATTCATTAAAAATACTAGCGGCCAAATTTTGATAAGCAACCTGGTAGATATACATTCTCCTAATTATAAATATACATAAAAATTTGGTTTTTAGCAAATAACAGATGAGCGCACTAATCCTGCAGCCGGATCTCGTACACGGACTTTTATTGTTACCAGAAGAGAACCAAATAGTCTCGGCAAGTTGGTAATGGTAGGGAGTAGTGATGGCAGTGACACGTTGGTATGACCAGGTAAAGACAATTATGCGTCAACATCCCTAACGCCCTGAGACAAGCTGAAGATAGAGTGGAGGCAGCAAGTCGACGGTTAGGGCTTTTCAAGACAAGCACGACCTGCCGTAATGAAATTTGCGACGAAGAAGAGAGTTGCTTTTTTTATTTTATATATTTATTACGTTATTGCGTTTATATTTTTATTCTAGTAATTATAATAATAATAGGTCGGGTTGGGTGGATAACGTGGATATAATGGCGAAACTGGGTCTACGGGTTCCAAGCAAGAGGCGGAAATCACTAATTTTGGTTGTACCACGTGCACACTGCAACTTGGTGTGGGGGATACATGTAATAATTAATGTAACAGATTTCTATCGAGGTAGATCTATTTGTTTGTACACTGGCCGAGTTCATAAGAGCTTCTTATTATATTATTAGTTATAAGATCTTAGTATATGCATTTTTGTAATGTTACATTATTGTGTAGTTCTATCGTATTAGTAATAGCTGTGAAGAAAGAATAATTGAGTGGAAAATAAATAAATAAGTAACATTGATGTAGTGTGTGTACAAGTAATGTAACTACCAACGCGTATATGTGTGCGTGAGCTAATAAAGTCTTTACTACTACGCGTAAACACTACAATAGATAATATTTACCAGTGGCCATATTCATCAAAATTGCGTTACGTAATACAATTTTACAGAAAGAGACAAAAGAGTTTTTTTTGTTATTGATTTTATTTGAATCAATACGTTAATTACAATTCATAATATCAATCGGAACTCGGTAGAATACGAAATTCCACCCGTATCACCTCGACGTCCGTCGTTCCACAACTGAGCGTTATTTAAGGCAGTTCTTGCCTGGTACTGAAGTATTTCCGAACTAGTCCGGCTTAGGGTCTTTTGAGAAAAGAGCGTACTAATTCTTAAATAGGCTGGCAGTCCACTCGCGAGCCCTATGACGTTGAGAGTGGTCATGGGCGGCGGCATCAATTAACATCTGGTGAGCCTCCTACCCGTTTGCTATATAAAAAAATCAACCTCTATTAGACTAAAGCCAAAATTAAAATACTCACCCCAGCACTACCAAGGAAGAAACGAATGACAACCAAAGCGGTGTAACTCATTCTAGCAGCGGCTGGACTCAACGCAGTCAGGACCCCACTGACCAACACAGTCACAAGAACCACATATCTTGGACCCCATCGTTCCGCTGCCATTCCACCCACGAGAGATGTAAAGGGATAGCACCAGAAATAAGACCCAATAATGGTGCCTTGCTGGTCCATCGTCCAATTGAAGGTTTCTTTGCTCTAAAATTTAAAAATGTTATGTTTTGGTAAACCCGTTCTAAGAATTTTGGTGTTTTTCGTAGAACCGTCCTTCAAACGCTTTATTCAAAGCTCTTCAAAAATTTTGCAATACTTATCATTTATATTTCTCGCTTTTTACACACTAATTTATAGTTAGTAAAAAATCTGTTTGCAATGTATAAATCATGCTATGTTTGACTGTTGAAGGTCAATTAGTTTTTATTGTTTATTTCTAGCTGTATGCTTTTATTGTAATGCCCGTAAATCATTTTAAATAAATTAGTTTCAGTAAACTTAAATAGCTAGATTTTTTAATGTCATTTTTAAACTACTGCACTGTATACCTTTCAAAAACAAGTTTGTTTCATATCATATTTTTTTGGATTACAGGAATACTCCAGGCAAAGTAGTTGGACTGTTGTGACACTGTTAGTGGCTCAGACTCTCAACTCTGAGGTCGTGTGTTAAAATCACTGATGTGTACCAATAGCTTCTCTTTAAAAAAGTAATTATACAAAGCGGCATGTATTATAGAAATCCTAACTTCGTGTTAGCCACACAAGTCTGTCTATAAAAAATTACAAAATAAATGCTATCTGAGGCCAGAAGCCACATTTGGTAGCGCTATTACATTACTATATTATTATTTATAAATGATTTAGGTAATTTCCTATTATGTAATAGAGCAGGGGCTTTCCCTCACTCTGGAAAATCTCTCCAAGTTAACAGATTAAAAAACTTGAACAACTTTTTCTGTATTTGTCTATATGGTCAATTATTAAACAAACACCAATCGTTATACCAATACGGTAAAGGTTAAACGTTGTTCTCATAACTGATCAAAAGATAAGCAAAACAAAAAATCCCCTATTTTAAGAATTTAATTTTTTTTTCGGGATTCGAACCAAGGTCATCTTGCGCATGTTGCATTGGTGCGGGGCGGGGATTGAATTACGCATTATTGTTTCTAATATTATTTTCGACTTTCGAGTACTTTACACCACAGAATGGTAACTTTTAGGTATAAAGACTCACTAGGTGGTCACGAAACGTTTTACTAGTGGGTACAGAAAAAACGTTACGGCGTGTTACATGGGGGGGGGGGTCAATAATCCCCAAAAATTGCGTGAACGGTCCCATACATGGAAATTGGGTTGTATCGATATATGTATAACATCAATGGACATTGGCCAATCATTAAAATCGCTTATTACGTAGTAAATATTTTACTTTTTTGACGTTCATAAGGGTACATTGTGTATATATAAATAAATGATTTTTATTTGATTTGATTTGATACGCCGTCTACTATTCGGGTCTAAGGCATGTGTCCTCAGGATATTTTCCTTCACTGTATTGTGTTAAATGTGCACATAGAAAGTCCATTGGTGCACAGCAGCTCGAACCTACGATCTCAGGGATGAGAGTCGCACGCTAAAGCAAGTAACGCCGCTACTCACAATTAACATTATGAAACAAATACATAGTGAACTTCATAAAAACCAACATGAATTGTCAATTTTAAGACATAAGTACTCAGTTATCAGGTAAGTGCGGCAACGTCGCATCATGCAATATCCGGTGTACAAAATTAATACACAGAAATAAATTAGAAAATAATTACATCGCGAGATCTGTTCCGTTAAATTTAGTCTAGGCAATATAATTAGTAAAAACCTAATTTGATATTTGTGTAGTTTACTGCGATCTTACATATTAACAGAAATGTTTGGTAAGTGCGACAACATCGCATCGTTGTCCGATGTATGATTGGATAGAATTTGGAAAATTATGTTGTGTACTTATTGTGTATAATTGATTAAGTTTCGGACTATACAATCTTAATATTTATAAATTACGTGTCACGTTGTTTGTCCGCTATGGACTCCTAAACTACCGAACCGATATCAATCAAATTTGCACACCGTGTGCAGTGTGGTCTAACTTAAATGATAAGATAGCTTACATCTCAATTTATACCCGTAATTTTTATGCTATATTATTTTATTGCAAAATATTTGTTTATTATTTAATAGTCACAATTCTAACAGATGGCGCTGTGTTGAAAGTACCAACGTTTCACATAAGCTACAATTTAATGGCATAACCACCAAAAAAGTATGGTGGTCCCCATGACTGGTGTTCTCCTACCGTTACCCTTGAAAAGTTTGCTACTATGTAATATAACAAAAACCTTAGCCACAGCAACGCTTGGCCGGTCTGCTAGTATTATTTAATATTATTTACTTATGTAGTTGCCATTAAGCCCTTACCTAATAATCTTCTTTTTTTTAAAATTTTTTTTTTGTGTGCTAACGAAATCGCCCAAATAAACAATAATTTGGCAACGTTGCGATATCCGTTATTGGTGGTTCAGAATTAAATTAGAAATTATTTCTCGTTTAAGTCGAATTTCTTCGTTTAAACTAATTTACACATGATTTTCTAAGTACTGATTGGAAATTAACGATTTGTTCTTCAAACCTAAGCCTGATCTGTTTTTAATGAGTTTTAAGCTATGTCCAGATAACTTTTAATTCTTTGTAATTTTATTCTTAACATTACCTGTGTTCGTAAATTTTTAGCGTCCTCCATTGTCATATTAGCGTTAAATGTTTCATTTGCAGCCCTTAAAGAAGCACACTGCGATCTTTTTCTGGAAAAAAAAGGAACTGTCACTGTAATGACGTTTCAACCAATTGAAAATTGACATAAAGCACCCGAAATGAGGGTCATTAAAGAACATAAAAAGTTTTCAAACGGTAAAGGTTTTTTTTTAATTTAGTTTGACTTTTGATTATATACTTAAATTCTTCTCCCAAGTGTTTTTGTCATTATATGTCATTTACCCAATATTTTTTACTGAATTGTCTTTGATATAATAGGTGTATTATAAATATACTAGCTGACTCGGCAAATGTTGTTTTGCCATGTATATTATTTCTAGGAAGCATTTTTTAGTTCAATAAAAATGACTAGGTGAAAATTTTGAGTTGTATGTATTTTTTAATGCTACATAAAAAAAAATTGGGCTGAACACCCCTTATCACTTAGAGGTTTGAAAGACAGATAGTAGCCGATTCTCAGTCTTTCTGAATATGCATAAAAATTTGATAAGAATCGGTCGAGCCGTTTTGGAGGAGTATGGGAACGAACATTGTGACACGAGAATTTTATATCTATTAGAGATTATCATTCAGTTATTGACTCTTATTAAAACAATTATTATGGCATACGCAAAAGCCCGTAAGAAAACAAATAGGCGTAAATATTTGATTATTATATTACGTTCTAGTTTGTTTATAGTCTACTAAGAATTTTAAACGGTCGCATCTCAACGTTTGCAAATACATAAAAACCAGAGACTAAAGTCTATACAACCCTTTATCTTAGCCTTAGATTTTGTATCTGTTTCGTTTTGTTTTTTCTAATAGACAAATAGGTGAGGTACTATAAATAACACTTTATTTTTCATACTGTCAGAAAGCTTATTAGTCTATAATATACATAGAATAAACCAGTGAGTTTTATGAGTTCCTTGCGCCTAACCAAAGAAACCATTTAGCTGTATCTATGGTATAGATGAACTTATACAACCTCATCAACTTTCGCGTTTATGACGTAGGGCTATTAGTATTAGAATGTTGTTTATAAACGGTTAACGCTTCCAACATACAAGCCAAGGGTTTATTTTTCTGGAATACCTTTGTGGATTTTTTAGGCCGTCATGAATTAAAGAATAAAGCAGACAGCGCGACAGAAAGGAAAGAAAACAACGACGTAGCGTCACGGCTTTCGTAGGCCATGAGGAACAGTTTCGAAGATTTTTGCGTGGAGTCACGTTGTGTGACGTCACCGTCCGGAGGCACCCGTCACGTTTTTGTGGGTGGGAATTAAGTTACAATCATTGCAAAAATGCCTCAAGGATATGTAAAAGCATTTCCTGAGGTTAAAATAAACTATTAGATTGACTGTGACCACCAATAACTCGGTATTTTATTACCAGCGCATACACCTATTGTTTGCCTTCACGCGGAATTGAATACTTTGTGAAATACTTACGATGCGGACGTTTGTGCTGGCTCAGGAACCATTGCTATTAGATTCAGACTTATGTTTACTCTTAGCATGTAGATCACCCAGCAACTTGTGAATATCATCAGCCATAGATTCAGCCTCACGGGTATAACGTCTGAAAACAAAAGAAAAGTGCTGCATATGTGACGCTGTACTCAAGGGAATACATTTTTAAACAGTTTCTTGTCTACGTCTGAGCTCACGTTTCTCAAAAATAATTTTTTTATCGAAAATAAATGGGAATAAAAAAAATCTTAGATAATGCATAACGCATATGATTAAGTGCTTTCTATATATATTATGTTTCGTGTGTATGTATGATGTAAATAAACAAATAAATAACTTAACGCTTTGAGTGCTTTACAAAATTCACGATATAGTAAATTCATTTATGTCGAAGATGGGTTGCTTGGTTTTAATCTCATATATGAAGATTGTATTTATAGTTTATATTGACTCCGTTGAGTTGCGATACACGTTATCATTTCTTTTGTCAATAAGAACGTAAAAATGTTCTATTGCTAGACTTATTATATTTAAATAAAGCAGTATAAATATCTAACCACAAAGTTTACCACATAATACTAACTGCAACACATAGATCGATGTTTCCCATCAAGTCTCATTGTGATAAATTATAAATTTACGATATAATATCCATGAATATATAGAAAAAAATAATATTTCACTCAGCAATATTTTAAAGTGACATTTTATATTAATTGTCAAAATATAAAGTATACCATACCATAGCCTAAACATTTACGATACTTTTACCGTTATTTTGTTACGTTCGTACCGTTATGGTTTCTAATGAGTATGAGTTTATTTTAATATAATCAAATTATCATCTTCGGCCATTTTCCTCCAACTCGACCGGCATTGCGAATTTTCAATGCCAGCCTACATACTATGTTGTGGTTTTTTGTTCTGCCAAGGTTTCAATTGAAGGAGCCTTTGAGTCCTCCGGTTCTTAAGTCTATGCGTGTCAAATCGCCCGCCCGCATTTTAATGATGATATAATATAATGTGACATTATTACGACTTTTACCAGGAGTAACTTTGGTCGTAATTTTTATTTAAGCTTCTATAATTAAGCGCTGTAAACCGGCGCCTCATCATCGCTTTTTATGATGAAGCAAGAGCTGAACGCCCTCTCCAAGGGACAGTTAAACTCTTCTGCATATACTTATTATTAGTGAAAGAATACTTATTTGTAAATTTTCACTTTATTTTCATTTGCATTTTATTGCCAGATGAATGCAAATTGCAGAAACACGAGCAATCGTTCAAATATAGACGTAACTGTCTTATTCATGAACGTATTAATAATTTAATATCACTTTTATTTATTTGCAAGAAAATAATTTATAAGCACTACCGTGGAGATAGGTGTGTGTTTTTCGACTTTAGGGGTTTCTGGACCAGCCTTGCGATTCTGTAACTCACTTTTCGAACTCTCACAGCGGTTTTCGCAGCGGCGGTCTGCGGTCTGATAAGGAGGGAGCTTGTAATTTATTGTTTATCGGAATGCCAAATCGTAAAAAGACTGCTTTACGACTGATTTGAACGCGACTGTCGCTGTGAATACAGCTGTGAGAGTTCGAAAAGTGAGTTACAGAATCGCAAGGCAGTCTACTGACTGGCCGGCCCGTAGACCTGTTACGTTTTTGTTGTAGAAATGGGATATCGCTGTTGGTCTGGAGGGCTCTGGTAGCTCAGCTGAGGCTGTGTGGTGAGCATAGCTCTGCCCAGCTTCAGTGCCTGATATCGAGAACTTGTATATTTATTTAGGTGGTAAAACTTCGATAGTGCGTTTCAGTTTACGCTATATTTATGATTGTAGATTTCTCTACAAAACTTCCATATATATTTCCGGTTAATAGTTTGAGGGATTTAGAACTATGAATATATAAACAACTACATGACAACGGCTTTTTTAATCATTGAAAAGAATAAATATTTTAGACCCTTAATTTTTTACAGTGCAAAAACTTTAGACTTTGAATAGCAAAAAATGAAAACAATGAGAATTTAATAGTCGTTAATTATCCAAATCTATTCATATTTTGAAGGAACTAAATAAACAATGGATTTTGTATTTTTTGCATTCATATTAAAAACGATAAAAATCCAGTGTCAAACGTTTTGACTTCCAATTTTATCTCTCACTTGTGGGCTTCCCAATACTGAAGGTCAGCAGACATTCTCTGAAATTTATAATCTATCTAATCTTTTATAGATAAGTAACCATCTGTGCTGCAGAGTAGTAGGTTCGATCCCCGACTGTGCACCAATGAAGATTCTACGAGTATATGCGCATATATATATGTGTATATAGAGTACCGAGAGTTTTTTACGCCGGCTTTTTCTCTCGGCCTACACCCTCTGTCTTCTTTGCCGATGAGTAGGGATGCCTTCAAATTTGAATAAGCCTTGAATAAGTGATACATGTATCTTATGTTCCATAATAAACATATTTTATTTTATTTTATTTTATAAAATTCGCTCGAACGGTGAAGGAAAGGATGGTGAGGAAACCGGCTTGCCTTAGACCCAAAAAGTCGCCGGCGTATATCAGTCACAGAAGGCTCACCACCTATTTTTTTAATACATTTGTACTTGATATTAACTGAACAAAATATTTTTGAAATTTGACATACATTTTGGGAGACATAGTTAGCGCTAAGTCGCGTTTCTGAATGATACCTTTACAAACGCCGATGGTTTTTGTTTGTAGGTTATCAGCTACAAACAAAAACCATCGGCGCTGGCATGATACTTGGGACCTTTTTAACTATAAGTCTTTGGATATATAAAAAGAATAACATCTTCGTAATAAATTAATTCTAACAGTTGAAGTATTTGAAGTTGAAGACGTGAATCTAAAGCAAAATAAAAGACAAAAGAACATCTAGGGCAAGATCTACTTAAAGGATTTTAGGGATTATTCTCACATACATATTTTATAAGTTGTAGTTCTATTAATATTGGCAAATCGAATAACACACACTCATAATAGGATTAGACTTTGACGTTGTTAATTTATGAGCTGTGTGACATATAATAATAACGACAGCCGTCGAAATTGCTCCGACATATACCTATGTTACGTTAAAACTACTCATTTAAGATTTAACCCTATGACGATATAACGCCTGCAATTAATATTGTCTATAGAGATAAATTAATATAAAGATTTATTTCTTATTCATGTTTTTTTCGGTAAAACCGTTCCGATGCCCGTTTTAGCACTCATTGTATTTTTTACATATTATTAACGTTAGCTTTGAGCTAGTTTTGAAGCCACTAAAACTAACCAAAAATACGAGCGTATCATCAAAAATAAACATGACGTATTGCCTAAGGTTTACGGGAGAACCTACTAAAACTTCCCAATTGTTATCATCGCAATTCATCTTAATATATATATTTCTTGTGTGCGTGTGTATGTGACTGAACTTCTCTCAAACGACTGGACCGATTTTGATGAAATTTTTTGTGTGTGTTCAAGGGGATCTGGGAATGGTTTAGATTCACAAATCAGCCCGGCAGATGGCACTGCAGTCGGTACTTTCATACTTTGCTTAATATCCTAATCGCTTTAAATATCATGCAGGACAACGTCTGTGGGGTCCACTAGTAATATATAAATATCTCGACTTGCTTGACTGCATAGCATTAAGAAATAAGCAGCATTATTTGATATTATTATTACGCAGTGTGCGAAATGCTATTTATTTAATAAATTCGTTAAATAAGTTTTTAAATATAATCAAAACTATATCATCTAACTGGAATCATTTCAGCCTTCAGGCTTTGCTAACAGAAGGGCTATTGAAATAGAATTTGAATGTCATGGCGTATTATTTCGTGGCCTCCACAAAGATCACATCCGTATAGTATAATGACTATTTTATTGCTACGTACTCAAGAGAATAGTTAAATACGACATATTCGGTATAAAACTGGGACTAAAATTCAATTAAATTTTGTAATATAGAATTAAAAATATTGATAACAATGGAAGAAAGGCCGCGAAACTTTCTGTAGAAAAATCGGTTATATTGCACGCCTCGCAGTGCTCTACTCTCGACATGTCAAAAAACCCAGTCTTTCGAAACTTGAATGACTTTTTTTCACTAATATAACACTTACAGGATAATATGAGTGCACTAAAATCGAGTTAAATAATCTATCAAGCACATATGGTATTTTTTATGAACAATTATTTTGTTTAACATAGTAAATAATAACATTAAAATCAAATATTCTTGGACGTCCGTCAGTCTGTATTTATGGATCCATGTATGTGGCAGAGAAATTGGTCGAAAAATTTATCGTACCAGAATACTTTTTTTCTTATTATATAAAGTTATACCCTGGGCTGATTCCTAGTTAATATTAGCGTTCTAAGTACTGTCGTTTAATTATAATTTGTAAAAAACTAAAATACGACTGTTCCTCACCTTAGAGTTATGGCGCCACTAAATATGTATGTTTAAATATTCTTCGTAGCTTGAGACTTAAAGATAATAATTTATTTATTATTTTGTTTTAAAAAAACTTGAGTTTTTGTTTTAGAATTTTCTAAAAAAATGTGAATGACCGCTATGAGGCGTGCACTTTTGGATTTTCCAAACTATCTTGCAATTATGACAGGTAATTATGGATATAGAAACAAGCCCAGAATGGTTCATAATGTTACTGTAATTTGGCACATGTTACGATTTTTCATCTCTATTTCAGGATTCAGTATTGTTTAGATTTATTAAAAACGAAGTCTTAATCAAATATTACTATCAATATTATATAGTTTCCGGCAGCGGTAATAATTGTCCGGAACGTGATGGAGATGGAGAAGGTTACTGGTTAGCCCAGGATGAGCAAAAATAGAGGGCCTATGACAAAAGACCATACATTTGTTTGCTAAAAAACATTAATAATGGTTTTTCTTACCAATTATTTATTAAATTGTTTGTAACTAACGGTCAGAGAATAACCGCTTTATTTATTATATACGCTTTTAAAATGTATACATTCTTATTTATTGTATTAAAATAATAATAACCCATGGCCTCAA